AAGAGGCAGCAGAAAACCTACCTCGTTGCCAGCACCTGGCAGGAATGTCTTCACTTTGATGGTCTTCCCTGGAGCAGGGAAGGGCGACTCCATGAGACTTCTCATGAACGGATAGACCAACGCAGCAGAGATCCCACGCCGTCGCTCCACCTCATCTAGGACCTGTGCCCCCGCCAGCAGCCCAGAGAGGAAGGGTGTCAGGGCGCTGCCCTTCCCTACCTCCCGAGCAGAGAAGAGGGCAGCCTGGCATCTGATCAGCCTCGGACAAAAGCTGGGAGCAGGAGGGCTACCTTGCCAGGAGCTTCACACCCTACTTTTCCCATTTCCCTTGGCACTCACTGACTGCTCTGCTTCCTAACCAGTCCTTGCCTAAGACCCCAAGAACTGAGTAGCTATGCAAAGGAAATATCACTTGAGAGTCAGGTCCTTGGGTACTTTGCATCCCCAAGGTGGTCTCTGTCCCCAGAACTCCAGCTGTGACATTAGCAGACACTGCTGGTGCAGGAGCTGGGGACATGCCAGCTGGTTTGAGGAAGAGCGAGGCTTGGGCATCAGGACGGAGACCGAGAGCTCGCTTCCACTTGCTCTTGCATGCTCTCTTTCTAGCGCCCTCTCACTCACACACACACACAGGTGGTTTTCTCATCTAAGCTGGCTGCAGATACTCCGATGGGAGCTGTCAGCTGGGAGGAGGAGGAGGGAAGTAAGCCAGAGCCCTCTTACCTTGGAAAACAAGCCGAAGCAGCCAAGGCGGCTGATGACACAGTATACCTCTGGCAACCGAGGTCCTTTCCCACTTGGCTGAGCCGGGACAAGGAGGAGAGAGACAAAGACACAGAGAGTGCATGATTACTATATCTGACTCCTTTTTCTTGGGACCTGAGGACTAAGGACTGCTCTTCTAGTAGAAGAAGGACTCCAAGTCTCTTCTAAACCTCTACTCAACCGGGTCCCAAAGGAGAGGTGGCCACTCTTCGGGGGCAGGCTTGAGCCTCTGGTGGGCCTTCCAGCCGAAGGTGCCAGGCTCCTGCAAAGCACCACACAGGCTCCACCCTGCCCCCCAGGAGGACAGTGATGAGGGCTGGCAAAGGACAAAGCAGTTTGGCAGAGGCTATAGCACGATTTGTGGATTTACGTCCCTAAGGCTGAGACCCCCAAGGACGCAATGGCAATGAGCGGGACCTGTGTACATTCTTAGCAACAGCCATGTAGTCTCTGCCCCCCACAGAGGGCATTCGGCAAACATTCCTTTTCTCAGTTGCTCTTTTCTCCCTTCCTTGACCCATCCCCTTCTAGGAAAGGTCATTGAAAATAGATTAAGAGAAGCAAACTACTATTTATTGAATGTTTACCACATCTGAGTCCTGGGATTGGTACTTTACAGAAAACTCATAAGACAGGCATGACTATCCTCATTTTACAGATGAGTAAACTGAGTCTAAAAATGTTAAACCACTGCCCAAGGTCATGTGTCTAGAAGTCCTGAGACCAGGAATCTGTTTTGGCCTCTGATTCGCTGTCTTACCTCTAAGGCATGCTGCTTTCTGACCGGACGGAAGAGAAAGAGACACAAAGGCACAGGACAGAGGGAACAAAGAGAACAGAGATTTCACAGGTAGGCGGCTGGAGAAGATGTGCACTGGGAGCTCCCTGCGCCAGCAGCCCCCAAATGCAGGCTGAGGTGAGTCCACAGGAGTCTACTTCTCCAGCCAGGGGCTGGCAGGACTCTGGCTGCCTCTGGCTCGGAGGCCTGGAGTGCCTGGCAAGGCCTAGTGGGGTGGGAGGAGAGCAGCAGGTGCTGGCCCCTCATGCAGGCAGCTAAGCAAATACAGATGGGGCTATTTCAGTCTCCAAACCTGCTGGCCACACGTCACAGATCTAAAGAGAAGGCAGAATCTGTTTTTGTCCATATTAGGCCTGAAACTCACTCCTCAATCTTTCCCTCTCCCCCGCCTCCCCTAAAGCCCCAAGTGATTAAATCAAGTATGTGGGATTTGGGTTAGAATCATTGTGTCCAATCTGCAGGAATGCCGAGCTAGTGCCAGCCCCCTTGGCAGGGGCCCAGCCCAGGCCCTCTCTGAGCACGCCAGGACAAACATGCTCTTCCCTGGGGGCAGTGGGCCCGTTGCAAAGGAGCAGCTCTGCTCCATCTCTGCTGCAAAGGGAGCCTTCGGAACGCTCCCCTCCAGGCACAGGTGACCCTGGGGCATGACGGCCTCTGCCTGGCCCCCACTGCATTGGCACTGCTCCCCATTCCCTTAGCCCCGCTCACTGGGCATTCTATAGCCATATATCACTTCTCCCCAGATCAATCTTTGGGGTGATCCAAGAGTACCAGACTTGGTGTTAAATGGATTTGGGAGTCAATCCTGGCTCTGTCCCTCACTGGCTGTGTGACCTTGGGTAAATCATTCCACTCTTGAGTCTCAGTTTCTTAATCTAAAGAATGGACATAATATTACCTCATAGGCTATTATGAAGATCAAAGAAAATGACATACTTTAAGCATCTAGCCTGGAACATATAGGTCCTAAATAATAATTTATTCCCTTTGCCTTCCCTTCTATATTGAAAACCCTACCTCCTCTGCTCGACTATCTGAAGTTCCTTGAGGGTAAGCTCTATGTCTCATCTTTATGTGCCTTTAACATGTTAACAGGCATTTGATATGTGTTTATGAATGAATGAATGAATGAATGATTGGCCCCAAATCCTTCATATGGGGTCCCTGCTATACAGTACCCTTGCCGAGGAGCCCCCTCACCTGCCCCTAGACCAGCATCTTGTGAGGCCTTCTCCCACTAAGGCCTAGGAACCCTGAATCATAGTCAAGAACCCAAGCCAACAGCATCCCGGGTGAGCTCCAGGACGGAGTGCCATAGAACTCTCTTTACTGTTACCTTGACCTATTTCCCAGGAATAATGGGAAGAGGGGTGGGGAAGGGCTTCTCTCTCTACAACGTGGCTTGTATTTTCAAAACCCTCCCTTTCCCCTGAGTTCAAGGCATCTCTTCCAGAATCCCAGAGAAGGGGCTGCTCTGCTCCTACTCAGCCTCCAGCCCTACCAGACCATGGATAGGACACCTCCCCACATCAGCCTGGCCAGGTATGGAGGTGAGGAAAATTGTCCTCCACCCAATCGGATGCACACACACACACAGTGCTGGGGTGATAGAATCCTGCAATCTGGGATTAGCAATCAGAGCTCAGAAACCCGAGGCAAATGAATGACAAGAAAAAGTATAGGCAAGCAAAAAACATATCATGGCCCAGTAGAAGGCGAGCTACTCTCTCCCCTTATTACAGGTTATCTTAGATCCCCGGGCCCAGTCAGAGAGGCCACTCTGAGTCCTGCCATCCCAGGTGTGCCTCATCTGTGAGTGTGTGTGTGTGCATGTGCGTGTGTGTACGTGTGTGCGCACGCGTGTGCATGTGCATGTGCGTTTGTGTGTGTGTGCGTGCGCGTGTACATGTGTGTGTGCATGTGTGTGCATGTGTGTGCATGTGCGTGCGTGCGTGCGTGCGTGCGTGCGTGTGTGTGTGTGTGTGTGTGTGTGTGTTGCGGTAGCCTCAGGGAGCATACAAGGGAGCAGAACATAGGATTTTATACAAGCTGAAGTTGAAGGGCACACAAACATACAAACACTGTGGCCCAGTCCCTGAGGACTGAATGGCCCTACTCACCAGTAAGCGCCTGCAGTAGCCAAAGCGTCTGCTGCCATCCTCCCCAGTCAGCATGAAAGAAAAAGTCTCACTGGAACAGGGAGAGGTCTGGCATCAGGGAAGCATCAGAGGACCCAGGAGACAGCCCCCAAGAAGAGTGACTGCCATCCCAGGGAGGGGGTGAAGGGCCAGGTTGCTGTAGGAGAGGAGGCTGGGACTAGGGTGGGCCCATTCAGGTGCTCACTGCTATGGGGGTAAAGAGGCCTTGCTCCCTTCCTCCCTCTAGCCGGGCCGGGCCGGGCCGGGCCTCACCTGGTATACTCTGACACAGGGAGCCAGTCCTTGGCATCCGGGAAGCAAAACTGGGGAATGGCCCTGAGCCGCTCCTCCGCCTCCCGCATCTGCTTGGTGGGTCTGTCCAGCTACAGGGAAGAGGAATACGAGGAGAGAGGGATAAGAGAAGGCATGGAACCTGGGGGTGGTGGGGCTGCTGAGAGGCATCTCCTCCCCTGAGAGCCCTAGATGGCATCCCACCAACCGGCATGCCTCTCAGCAGACCCTGTCCCCACTCCCAATTCTCACAGAGGGGTCTGGGTATGGGCTGAGCCATCATTTATTCATTCAACATAGGCCAAATGAGCACTTTCCATGAGGCACCTGGCACCTTGCCATGCGCTGGGGCTACCAATGGGAACAAAGTGGACAAGGTCCCTGTTCCTGCACATTCTGGTCTGACACCAATTTCAGAGGGTGTCACAAATGAAATAAATAGGGTGATATGACAGAGAGAACTGGGCAGGGAGAGGGGCTACTTTAAGGTATCTGGAGAGATCTCCTGGGAGAGGTACTGTATGAGCAGAGAACGAAGGATGAGAAAGAGCCAGCAGCCATGTGAAGAGCTGGAGAGAGGACGTTCCAGGCAGAAGCAGTTGTGGAGAGAAGGGTGTGAGCGTTAAAGGAAGAGAATGGAGGCTGAGTTGGTGGTGATGAGCAGGGAAGGGGTGGTGGCTGAGAGATAAGGGAGGCGCGGGAGATGAGAAGTGACTGCTAATGGGTACAGGGTTTCTTTCTGGGGTGATGAAAATGTTCTAAGATTGTACAACTCTGTGAATATACTAAAAGTCATTGAATTGGACACTTTAAATAGGTGACTTATACAGTATGTGAATTATAGCTCAATAAAGTACTAAGAGAGTATATAAGCAGGAGAAGTAGCTGGCGTCCCTCGTCGTCCCTATAAACAATTTGGATTTTATTCTAAGAGCCCTGGGGGGTGCTGTCTCCGCCCTCCTCCTCAGCATAAGCACTGGCCCAAACTCACAACCCCTGAGCCCTCTCTTCCCTCCTGCAGCCTCACCTTGGGAAACTGGTAGGAGACTTCAGGGAGGTAGGTGTTCCGCGATGGCTTCTTCTTGAGGGACACCACCACAAAGTACTCAAAAAGCTCCCGCTCCTGCCACTCAAGCAGCTCCAGCTCCAGCGTTCGATAACTGGGCGCACGCTTCAGCATCGACTGGATGTGGACTAGGCGTTGCGTGTGGGCTGGGGGTGGGTCACACATCAGTGGACAAGCAGGCCGGACCCTCACAGACCCCACACTAGCCCCTCTCCACACCAGACTCAGGGCTGGGTCTCTGTGGATCAACTCTAAATGCACAAGCTCAGTCTGACACACTTACCCAGCTAGGTCTGGGGGAGACGCGGCAGGGGCAGGGTGTCTACGTCTATACAAAGGCTCCATCCGCCCTGACAGAGGGAACTCCTGGTCTGGGCCTCCTGGAGCTTCTGGGGGCTGTGTGGGCCAATAGGACTGCCCAAGCCAGGCACACCCAGGGATGTAACACTGGCACCCACCCGCCCCTGCCCCTGTGCCAACTGGACTAGAAGATAAGAACACCCACGAAAGCCTTATTGTTGGGCCCCTAGTCCTTGGACTTGAACCCTTTGTCCCTATCCCCAAGCCCAAGTCCACTTGCCCGCTTGGCTGGGGCCAGCAAAGAGAAAGGGAGCTACTTCCATCTACTTGAATCACCAGGAAGGTCTAGACAGGGTTTCCCAGTAGAGAAAGAACAGAGATTTGTCCAAGGCCCCTGGAATGTGAAGGTCCCAGAACCTTTTCAGGGAGGTGGCAGTCCTCCTCTCTAGGGAAAGGGGAGGTGAGTGGCCTCAAGGCCTCCAAGGACCAGTTTCCTCAGACCACGGCACATTTCTTATAACCAGAAGAGGTACTTAATAGCCTTCTGAACCCATCTCTGACCCTCCAGATTCACATTTACCAGGCAAATCTAGCACCCAATTCTCACGGGTAATGGCTTGGGAAAGTATGGGCAAGGTCCCTAGCCTGAGATCGGGGCAAAGGGAGACATTTGAAGTGAACCGCACAAGGCTGGGCTCGCACGGCTGCAGGGACAGACTCCTCTATAGCTCCTTGCTCTGCTGGCCCGGGATCCTGCCGGCCTGTTGCCTCTCCAAACCAGGCCAATCTGGGACATGGGAACTACACATGCAAAAATGCAGAGGAAGGGAAGGCTGAGCCCCTACAGCCAGGGCTGGGAAAGGGTTCCACGCTCCCGGGGAGCCACGCCTCACCTTTGAACCTGTCGTCAGAGTCGCTCTCGCTCTCACTGTTCTCATCTGCAAAAGTAACAGCAGGAGTGCATGCTTACTGAACCACTGCCCACAGCAAAAGTTTTCTGTGCCCTCCTCCCAACTCTTCTCACAAGTGATGAATCTGTACCTAGTCCGGGCTCCTAGGGGCCCACGGCCAAGTGCTGAGTGGCCTGTGGCCCAGGTCCCTCAGAGCTCAAACTGCAGGTGCTCATCTATATACAAACCACCATCCATCTGGTCCAGGTCTGGGGAAAGCTGGAGGCTGAGCCAGCAGAGAGGCCTATGGGCGTGAAACACAAGGGCCCTGCCTCCAGGAGACCAGGATTTGAAATGGGAACCAGACCACAGCGCTCAGTAAGTCTGAGCTTTCCTTTTGCCAGAAGCAGATTTCCATACCCACCTCCCTACTCAGCAATCCACAGCCCAAAGCCTGAACCGGCCCATCCCAGGACTTCCTTCCCTCTTTGGTCCTTCCCTCCTATGTGACCACTTCTTGGCAGGACTCTACCTGCCTAGGAGGCCCACAGAAGGGTAAACTGAGGCTAGTCCATGCCTCTCCCTGTTCCTAATGCCCAAGGGCCCAGACCTCTGAACCAGTTCAGGCATCAAGGCCTACCTCTCAGTGACGCTGTCTCAATGCTGGACATAGACAGTTTTTTTAACCTCTTCTTTCCTCTCTTGGCATTGTAGATGGAGTTAATTCTTTGGACAAGCTGGGTGAGAAAAGCCGGAAGGATGAGAGAATCTTAACACCAACTACCCCTACTTCCAAGAAGGCTGATTAGTACAGGCCACGTGTTCCCTTACTGGCCCAAGCCTTCTTCTGCCCTCTCCACACCAGGCCCAGTACTGGTCTCCCTGCTGCACTGACTCCAAGTAGCTGCCTGGTAGCTCTCTATCTACCTAACCCCCCAAGTGGTCTTCTGCTCCATTAAATTTAGTTCCCTAGAGGAAGGAACTGTGATCAAACTGGACAGGATGGGAGCTTCTGGGTCCCAAGAGTCACTGAACCGAGACAAAGAGCTCCTCAGATGCAATAACAGGAACACGGATTCGTCCTTCCCCTCTGGACTACAACCTGGGGCCCCGACAGGAAGGAGCTCAATTCCCATTATTCCCAAGCATTGTTTGCAGGCTAAAAATACCATTTGGCTAAATCCTGCTGCTTTTTGGGCTGAGGATTTGGGCCTGGCTCCCTGTGTGTGCAAATCACTGCTGAAAACTCTCAATCCTGAGAGTTATAGAAGGGGAGACCCATGTTTAAGTCCGAGGTCTTTCAAAACCTGGAAATGCTTATGCGTGCACAGAGACCTCCAAATGCACACCCCCCACTCGCTAATGGGGGGCCTCCTGAGGACTGGTTTCCACCCACCCAAAGGCATGGAACGTCCCCTGGGTGCCGAGACTGGCCTGTTCTAACGTCTGCCTATCATTTATCACTTAACACAGCTTTATTGATAAGAAAAGGGGATAATTAGCCAGATGAAAAAGAAAGGCCAGTGCATGGACCCAGAATATGCTCAGGGAGAATCGAGGAAGCAGCCCCAGAGGAAGGAAGGAAGGAAGGAAGGAAGGAAGGAAGGAAGGAAGGAAGGAAGGAGAGACATGCTACCCGCCTGCCTGCCCAGCAGCCCAGACCGAACTGGGGAGGCTACCTTGGGAATGCGGCGGGCCCGGCGGCTGGAGAGCAGCTCGCTCGTGGTGCTGAGGCTGTCCTCATTGAGGCTGGAAGGTGAAGACGGCAGGCTCAGCTGAGCCAGCAGCAGCATGTCGTCATGGCTGTGCCTCTTGGGTAATCGTGGCAGCCGGTGGCTCTTCCTTTCCGACCAGTTCCCACTGCGCAGGGACTGGCTGCCGGGTTTCAGGGAGAGCTGGCATGGGGGAAGAGAACACGGGAGAGGAACTCACCCCTGAAGCCTCAGGCGGCATCCATCTGCTAGGGCCTGGACATAGCAGCCACAGGCTGGCATGCCTGGCTCCCCGAAACCCATCCTGGAATTCCCATCCACCAGGGTTTCCTCTTTCAATTCAAGACCTCAGCTGCTAATCAGCAGGTCAGGGCTAGATTAGAAACTTGCTTCCACAAAGGAAGTTTAATTACTTCTGCCAGAATAAAGCAAGCAGAGGCTGAGAAAACTGGCCTCTCATCTGAGTGGAAAGAGAGGGCCAACTGGGAATTCTGGGAACTCCTCCTGAGCTCTGGGACAAGGCTTAGACTTTGCTCGTGACTGAGCCTGGCTGATGGAGGGTCTTCCCGCCTCAGCCCAATCTGGTTCTAAAAGGCTTCGCTAGCAGAGGCCATAATCTCCGTGCCAGCCTGGTCCTGCTCACTTCTCCCAGGGGGGCACACAAAGGCTCCGGGCTCTGACCACCAAAGCCCAGCAGGGAAGGTCTCACAGCCAGCCGGCTCCCTCGCCCACACGGTCCTGGCCTGCCTCCACCCCCAGCCCTGATCTACTTTCTGCCTCGCTCCGTCTAGACCGACTTCCCATCCTATAGCACAGGGCACCTTACTCTCAGCGGATCCAGCTCGCTGCAAGAAAAGCAGCGCCCTCTGCAAACTCAGCAGGCAACCCACCCATTGTCTAGACCTGGCATTTCCTCTCATCACTCTTCCGTAACTCCTCCTTCCTCCCTCTCCCCCAATTTCCTCCTCCAGCCCAATCGGTCTGGCAATACATATTCAATGGAAGCCTGTTTGAACAGAGCACATTAGGAAGGTAAATCTTTTATAAACACAATCATATCATTCCAAAGCCAGAGGCGATAATTTTTATATTCTCTAGCCAATGTTATAAAATATCTGGGCTCCTCCATTTGTATAGAGAATCAGAGTTGCCTGGGTTGATCCAAGAAAGCATCTCAGTTCTCCTGCCTCCTCTCCACCCTGGACAAGGGCAGAAGGAGTGAACGGGCCTCCTTTGACCCTTCACCTTTCTTCTCATTCTGCCTTCTGTCAGTCCATTCGTCAGAGATTCATTCTTCCTCCCTCCAACAGGAGTTGGCTCCAGGTCTCGTGGACACCTGGCTAGCTCTCAGATCTGGTTCTTGGGCCTATGCCTGGCTCCCAAATGCTAGTGCTGAGATCATTTCTGCCAGCGCTGCAGAATACTAAGACTCCAACCAGGGCCCTGTCTTCCTGTTTCCCACAGAGGAGGAATAATAAGACAGCAGACTACAGGGGCTCCTGCCTTAGTTTGGCAGCTCAGAGCTCTCACACTGAAAGGAAGATGATAGGACAGGATGCCCCTAAGAGCATGCCTTGATTGTCCACAAGGGCTTCAACATGACGGAAGTCCCGGAGTGCAGAGCTCTTTCCTGAGGTCACCTCCTTTGCCAACACTAGTGAGGGGAAAAGGCTGAGCGGAAGCTGGCCCAAGCCTTAGTAGAGCAGGCCCCCACTGTGGCCCTCATGCTGACCCTACAGGCCCAAGTGGGTGCTGCCATTACCTGAGTAGGTGGGTTGTTGTACTTCCTGTCCTGAGGACTCCACATCCTGTGCAAAGAGTCCAAGGAATTCTCAGACAGTTGCTGGGATTTTCGTCCCGCTCTTCGGCTCTTCAAGTCCACATCCTCATATGGATTCTCCTTGGGCAGCTCTCCTGCAGAGGAGGAAAAGTTAGAGTAGGGGGAGAGAGGAAGATGGAAACATACGCACTCTCACACACACACAAACGAGCAGAATTCCTATGAACCAAAGAGAATGGCTTCTGCCTGGCTCTTCAGCTCATGAGTCATGCAGCTGCCTGTCTGCAGTGGGAGGCTACAAACAGATCCTGGCTCCAAGTGCAGAAGCTGAACCCCCCACCCCCGGTTCAGCTCAGCCTTGTCTGGCCTCTGCTTTATAAATTCAGGGATTGCACAAGACTGGCTCAGCCACCCCTGCCTGTGCCCAGCCAGAGGACAGAGCCAACACCAAGCATCTTTCCTTGGCCCCAGTCCCTCTGCTGCAAAACCCCCAGAGATATAGAGTCAGAGATACACAGTTCAAGGTAGAAAAAGCTTTCAGAGGTCACATGGCTGTCCCTTTACCCTTTTACCGACTGCTTCCTGAGGACCCACTTTTGGAGGATGGGCATGGAGGAACTCTACAGAACTCTAGGGAGCAGGTCTTTCCCAGGCCTCCTTCTCACCTATTACACTGCTCAGCACTGCTGCAAGGCAGGTCTACTGTCTGGTCCACGGAGAGAAACCCAGCACCAGCAGTGAGTGCTCGGTCATTATTTACTTAATGAACAGCTCTTACCACTGTGTCACTCTATTTCCTCTACCACTGAGCTCAGCAAAAAGAGAATGGTCCTCACTCCCTTTTTGGAATAAATGCCCCTGCTGTGACACAGGGGAGGTGTGAAAGGCTTGAAAGGAGTCTGAGCCAAATCCATGGCAGCAGGCACTGGAGTGGCAGGACCAGGGAATGTCAGAGTCCAAAGCCCAGTCCCTGCCCTTGAAGAGCAACGCCTTCCCACAAAGCCACCCCCGCCTGCCCCCTTCCCTCCAACACACGCCCACATGCCTAGACTTCTCTAAAATACAGTATTATGAGCCAGGTCAGTCCTGCAGCAGCATCACGGTGGTGACAAGGTCCCTGGGGACTGGGAGTATCTTTCCATATCCACTCCTCCATTATCAACACCACTGTGTGGGACCTGCGACCTAGGTACCAGTGACCAGAACCAGGCTTTGCCGGAGGGAGCACACGTGCTGAGCCCCAGGGCTCACTCAGCTTTTCTCTGTTCAGCAGCAGGACTGAACCTGCTCAGTGGGTGACCACTGAGCCCCAGAGAAAAGGATCTGAGACTGGATCAAGTGGTTCCCAACACCAGCTGAGTCCTCAGCAACTGAGCAGCCGTTTTCCTGTAACACAGTCATGATATGAAAATGACTTGTCTCCATTCCAGAGCCCTGACTAAGCAGAGCTGGCCCAGCAACCCTGGCTCAAGAAGCCAAATATTAAACCTGGCATCCCCTGCATGTTTTCCCCAGCCTACCCCACTGTGGGCACGCAGGAGGAGTCAGGACAGACTCTGTACTTCTTGGCCCCTCTCCAACATATATCTTGTAGCAGTGAGGTGGGGGATCAAGAATTAGAGAATGAAAGCACGGTCTTCTTGATCCTGGAAAATAGGACCAGAGCATCACTGTTCAGATGGGGACAGGAAGAACATTTATTCCCAGCTCATGAAAGCCAAAGTGCTGTGGGCCAGATGACCAGCCAGAGATCTTATCATCATCCCCCAACCTTGTCTCAACTCCTCTAGACAGGGATGACCTTGTCTCAACTCCTGCAGATCAGACTTTCTCCAAACTGCTGACATTTGGGGCTGGGTAATTCTTGTCATGGTGACTTCCCTGTACGTTTGTATGATGTTTAGCAGCAACCGTGACCTCAATCCACTAGAGGACAGTAGCAACCAAAAATGTCTCAGCCACAGTCAAATGTCCCCTGAGCAGGTGGATGGATGGGTGGATGAATAGATGACGGAAGGACGGAAGGAAGGAAGGAAGGAAGGAAGGAAGGAAGGAAGGAAGGAAGGAAGGAAGGAAGGAAGAAACTGCTCCTCCTTAATTAAGAACCACTGCTTTCATAGGGAATATGGCTAATAATATTGTAATAACTATACTGGGGTGCCAAAAAATGTATACAAGTGGACACTTTGGTCAACGTTGCTCAAGCAGTAATTCGCTGTAATTAGAAGTGTCTGGACACTGATGGTAACCACTCTGAGCACCTCTTGTAATTGCAGAAGTCTAATGTGACTTGTATTCATCTTTTGTTATTAGTATATATTGAGTATTATGATTTTAATAGTTTTTTTCCTTTCTTAAAATGTGTATACATTTTTTTGGCACCCTCTGTATATGGTGTTAGGTGGGTACTAGCCTTATTGGGGTGATCACTTCATAAGGTATATAAATGTCTAACTGCTACGTTGTACACCTGAAACTAATATTATATTGCATATCAACTATAATTGAAAAATACATTTTAAAAAAAGAACCACTGGGCCGGCCGAGTGGCGCGATGGTTAAGAGCTGGCTTGGGACGCCAGAGGGCCCCGGTTCGGATCCCACATATGAGGGCCAGTGACACTGCCCTCTACAGCTAAGATGGTGAACAGCAGCTCAACCTGGAGCTGGGCTGCCATAAGTCACCAGCCAACAGCATAGGCTGCAGCCCCTGTGGCAGTGGGTTGCCATGGGCTACCATGTGTAGCCAGCAGCCAGCGTGAGCAGCCAGCAGCCGCAGTGAGCGGCCATCCAGAAGCCGGCAACTGATCTGCCTCGCCCGGGAAGAGCGCAATGACGGTGCCAACTTGGGCCAGTGAAGCAACGTCCTCCACAGCTAGACTGAAGAACAAAACGACAGCAACTTGTCTGTTCCCCTTCCCCCAATTCCCCAGCACTGTTCCCATCCCCCCAATTCCCCAATTTAAAAAAAAAAATTTTTTTAAAGAACCACTGCTTTGGATGGCTGTTTCTACATAGTTTGAATACCATGACGAGTCCCAAATCAAACCCTCTTTTCCTCCATCCATCCTTCCTCCTCCCTCCCTTCTTTCTTTCCACATAATCAGAGCTTTGAACATTGATACAAAATCCCAATCTCCAAAAAAACAAAAACAAAAACACATGCAGGAGACTGAGGCCCGGGGAAGCAATAGATGTACAATGTTCATGCACAGCAGTGACAACCTGGGAGGAAACACTCGGGAGCAGCCAGGTTCTCAGCACTAGTCTTGCCTCTGGAAACTAAGTTTCAGAAAAGCCTCAAATGCCTGCTCCTCCTGCCTGCCCAGTCCTAACACCAGCCTCTTTCTTCTCCAACAATGTTTAACATCCTCTCTGATAGAACCAGGACACTGATCATTTCTCCAGGAAACGACCGCTGGCCCCGGCCCAAGCCCTGCCTCCCCGGCCTCAGCTTGGGCCCTTCACAGCCCTAGTTCACCTGCTACTCTCAACTTCCTAGAGTGTTCCTGACGACGCTTTTGGAGCTGTCTCACAGCGATACTCCCAGGTACTCTCCAGGTAGTAAGGGTGCCCAGGGGATGGGGAAGTGCAGAGGCTAAGCAGGCCCTGAGTCCTACAGCCAGTAACTGAACCTGCTGAGATCACGTTAATACCAAATCAAAGGCTTAGCGTTGGGAGAGGAGGAGGCCTGGGGAATAGGGCTTCCTCCAGGGGAGCAGAGCTACAGCAAGGCTGGAGAAGCTACAGCTGAACAGGGAAACATGGTGAAGATTTAGGAGGGGCATGGACGGGAGACAGAAAGCCTGGCAGACCACAATACTGATCTGCGCATCTGCCCACACAGCTTCCCTGAGGGCAGCCCCACCACCCTGTGAGAAGGAGAAGAGGTACGCCCTCTTCCCTGGAGTCCTGGTCCTAAGCAATCCCATCTCATCTCATGAAGCTGGCTGGGGAAGCCAGAGGTCTCAACCCTTCCCAGCTTTGCTGATGAGATAAGGGGACAAGGGCATGGCCAAGAATTTCTGCTTTGCACTCTTTTAAAGGGGCTGTTCAGAGCTCAAATTTATCACACTGATTCTCTTGAAGGAAGAACCCAGCCCCTCCCAGCCCTGCCCCCTCTCCTCCCCACAGCTCCTTTGGTCATTAACCACAAGTGCCAATGTGCCCCCTCCCCCCAACACACACCCAACTGGAAGAACCAGTTGGGGAAGGGGTGTGTGTGTATGTGTGTGTGTGCATGCTTAGGCACTGAGGATTTCTCCAAACAAAATCCTAAGTTTCCTGGACCACACCCACGGCTAGGGCCCTGGGTCTGCAGCTTCCTTCCCCATCCCTTTCCGGGTTCCAACTAGCCTTTTCTCCAGGTTCTCAGCCTCTCCACTGCCTCCCCCAACCCCCTCACTCACACACTCACACACACACACACACACACACACACACACAGTAGAGGGAGGGTCAGGATAAAGACCCAACTCCCCCCACAATGCATAGCACATCATAGATAGGGAGCTCTAAGGAGTCAGTTGTTACCCACCCTCCAAGTCTGGACACCATTTCCCAACTGTCCGGGGACTGATCCCTGGGCTGCACCTCTTGGCTGCAGCCTCTATGCTGTGAGGTGCCCGCCATTCCTTACTGCTTCCCGGCGTGGGGACAAACAAGAGAAGAAGGCAAAGAGAGCAGAGGCTCAAAAAGCTTTGCAGTCAGGCTGACTGGCGCTGTCCCCAGCTCCCATCCCACTCAAGTTCCTGGAAACTGTCTCTCAGCCTGAGCTAGCTGACAGGAGTGGGAATCTCTGGAGGAATGCAATCCGGGCTCCTTGGTCAGGCGCCGAGGCCACTCCACACAACTCCCTATCAAGCTGCTTCCTTGCGGGTATTTTTTTAAGAGTCAGGCTCAGAATGCGAATGATTATAAGGCTTTGTAGAACGGCAGCATCTTCCAGGGGCAGCTGTCAAATTGGACAGGCGAGAATTAACAGTCCCAGGAAGCACCAAGGCAGTCACTTTGTTTTTGAACCCCTCTATTGCAAATTAGCAGGATAAACCTCAGCCTATTTTGGAGAATCCCACCCCAGTTCCCCAGGGTGTAACGCCAGCAAACTCCCAAGGCCCCTCGTTTAAATCCACTGTTCAGAAAAAAGATATGATAGTCTCTGGCCCTCAACCTCTAACAAGCCAGGAACTCCAGTCCAATCGGTAGGTCCCCAAGATGGGAGATTTAGCACCGGTGTTCTCTCCCCTGCTCCCCTGCCCAACCCATTCCCTGCCCCCACCTCATTATCATACATCCCAAATTGAGCTCTGTCTTTCCCTCTGCAAGAGCCAGGTAATACCAAAGGAACCTGAAATGACCATAACCTCACAGAGCACAGGCTGGGTCAAGAACAGAGAGAGGCTCCCGGGAAGTCAGGCGCTGGTCAATTCAAGGCAAAAGGTGAAACTGACATTCAGGGCTCAGCAACAAGCCCCACCCTCACCCCTCAAGCCTCTGGGGGAGGGTCCAAATTCTTGAGCCTGTCTCCAGAGATGGAGAAAGGGATGAATCAACCAGAATCTAAGAGAAAAATATTCTCCCTTGTATTTCCCTCTAGCCTCCATGGTCAGGTCTAGAAGTCCAGACGGGGCCATTGTGAAAGATACAAATAAGGAAAACATGCCCAGGACACCTAACTAACTACTGAAACCCACCCCAAAGCAAAACTCGGGTGCCTGGGCTACTCCCCGGCCCTCCCTCCTACACCATCCCCTTGAGTCTTCCCCCATTCCAAAATCTAGTGAGCAGCTGAGGAGCACGCCGCAGCTCCAACCTCACCCTGTACCAGCCCTTACCCACGGCTCTAGCTCAGCCATCCAAGAAGCATCCAGGCTGCTCCTGTATTTTCTTGCCTCCTCAAGTAACATCCCAAAGTGGCAGGAAGTCCCCTCTACTGAGTGGGTAGGCTGAGGCCCAGACACACTTGCTTCCCTCTTCCTTTTCTCTACCCTGACCTAAGAAGTCCCAGAGAACAGTTCTGTTGCTCAGGACAGTGGCTCCAAAATTCTCACGCCCCCACCCCCCACCAGACACTGCCCCCAGTAACCCCAAACAGAGCCCTGGAATCATGGAACCCCGGGCAGTTCACATGGTTGAAGCGTCCTTTTTTCTTACGGCAGTTCAGCCGATACAGGAACATTCCCCGACCTGAAACCCCTGCGCAGCACAGAAGGGCTGCTGAAGTTTCTCAGACAAGAGATAACAGGGAGGCCCGGTGTTGGCCGCGCCTCCTCTGCCCACTGCAGCAGCCACACGGGGTGCTCCCAAGGGCCCTGGACACTAATGTCATTACAGTTTCTTCCAAACTAGAGGAAATGGGAATGTACTTGCAACACGGGTGGGAGGGAGATGGGGCTGTGCCTCTCTCTGATCCCCACAGCTCTTGACCTCAACTCTGGGTGACCCGTGAGTACAAACCTTGTTCCCAGTGGTAAGGGAAGGGGTCTCCCTCCCCAAGCCCCTTTGCTGTTCTAGGGGATCTCACTCGCACAGTCTTCCTGTTATATCCTCATTTTGGATGGCTACAGGCTATCCGCTCCGTTCCCGGGAAAGTGGTGCCTATGTGGATCCAAGCACTGCCGCTGGCGCCCCAGAAATGCTGGCCCCGCAAGCTCTAAGGAGCAAACTATGAACCTGATGGCTCAGATCAAATGAGGGAATAGATGATTCTCTCCTCCTAAGATTCCACGACCTTATGAGAATCTAGGGGGTTCTTATCCCCTAGGACCAGTCTTCTCTAATGTGTTAGCTAAGTTATGTTCTCAGCCTCAAGGCCTAACACAGAGATAAGACAGAGACAGAAACAGAGCTGAGAGAGGGCGCGGACACGTGAACCAGCACGCAGCTTCTCTTCTCCTCACACCCCACACTGGGACACCCGTTTTACCTGAGCAGAATTCAAGCCTCCACCAGAGAATGAGGCCAGAATTAAACCAAAAGCCAAAAAGAAACCCAACCCAGCCTAATTATTGGTGTTTCATTGACCCCCAAACACAGGTTTGCCGACCCCAAGTTCTCCCAGTTGTTGGAGGACAATTCCCCAAGGTGTGTTACATTTCTGACCTTCTGGGCAAGAGAAATCAATGGTTCCAGATTATCTTTCCTAATATATTTATATAGCAAACAGTCTTGGAAGATAGAAATAGTGTCTCCCTCCAGGGCAGAGGCAGATGTGTTTCCTGACCAGGGCAATAAGGGTCATGTCTTCGCATGGGCAGCTTTGCCAGCAGCCCCTTGACAAGATGGAGTTTCCTAAGCTGAGTGCAGCCTCTCCCTGGACCTCCTCCTCACTGCCCACTGGGACTCAGAAGCCAGGGGAACCCATTTGAACGCTACGCTCATGCTGCCTGTTGTGCCACAAGTAATAACGTCCTTTTTCTACGATCCAGGAGTCTTGTGCCTTCTGCCAGTATCTGTGAGACTGGAGCAGGCTAAATTTGTTAGCTTGCAGGCAAAGTAAAATCTCAGATGCTTTCCCAGTTCTTGACACCACTTACTTTAAGGAAAGAGAAAGGGAAAGATATAGCAAGAAACCAGGTACTGGGCTAGATACTCTGATGTGTATTTTACCTCATTTAATCCTAATAATAATCCTATGAAGTATTACTATTATTATTGTTGCTGTTTTTGTTATCATAACATTATCATTTGAGAAAACAGGTCTCAGAAATGTTACATGAGTTGCCTAAGAACACATAGCTACGGAAGGGAACCTATGGGACTCCAAAACCTTCCAAAAATAAAAGAAAGGGAATGATGTGGTTTTCCGCCTTTTGTGGTCCCAGAAGCCCTTTTGGTTTCAGTTCATTCAAGGCCAGGCTTTAATCTCTTAGCTGCTCAGTCTTTGCTAAACTGCCCCCTCGGATGCCCATTTCCTTGAGAAGTTCCAGAAGCTGGGCCATGTCTGTCCACGGTGAATGAACTGGAACCCGGGGATGTCCCCCCATTCCTGTTCTTCTGTAGCCCAGAGACAACCCAGCCCACCACCTCGGCCACTGCTTACCCACAATATCTTCATAGGCATTCTCTTCTAAAGTGCTTTTGGATCCAAACTTGGGTTGGCTCTCAGTACCATTCTCAGTGGGAGAAGAGGGGTACAGGGACTGGAGACTGGATGCATCCTCAAACTCAAAGGATTTTCTGTGGATAACAAGAGCATGAGTCATTCCGGCTGAACCAGATTCCTAGGGCCTTGTTAGAGAACGGCCATGGGCACCAGCAAAGACCAGAGGTCCTCCTCACAAGACCAGTTACTGAGCAAAGCACAAGATGGATCCAAACTTACCACCCCAATGAAGAGCTAGATGGTCTGAAAGGCCCTAGCCTGGGTGACTGCAAATAATGCCAATAACAACTACCACAGCCAAAAAAGGTACTTTGTGTCAGACGCTGTGTCAGGTGCTTTAGTGTGTTATTTCATCAGTCTTCACAATGCTGCTGCTAGGTATTGTGCCATTTCGCCAATGGGGAGACAGAGGCTCAAGGAGATGAAGCGACAGAGGCAGGACTCGCCCGGGCTTTAACGTGGGCCTCTGAGCCCTCCTTGAGAAGTATCTGCCATTGCCACAGGAACTGAGTGCCTGATCTGCCTTCAGAGTCTCACATCATGTCTGCATCCTGGCAAGGGCTCCCGCACTGGGTGGGCAGTAAAGACTCAACACAGGACGGGTGATGCCCAGGGTTGTTTGGGGATCAGGGAAATAGTTGGTGGTGAACAGTTTGTTGAAACAGGAGGGGCTGAGTCCTCAGAACAAATCACACCACTTCTGAGGTGGAACTACAATAGGAGGGCACCTTGCAGCCAGAAGCTACTTCTAAGATATCCAGCTTCCCTTCAGTGAGTCACCGGCTCCATTCCATTCCCTGGATAACCTTCCCTTCTACTGCGGAATTTCAAAAGCAGTTTGTTAACTCCTCAGAAACCCTGAGCCCACAGCATTCTCTACTACTCTCCTTCATGGTGGAGGCACTTCCCTCACCTAAGACTTGACCCCAGCTGTGTCCTCTCCCTCTGCAAGGCAGGTCCGAGCAGGCTGCTGGGGAGGGAGAGAAGGAAAGGCACTGACTGAATCCCTCCTCTCACCCATTCACACCTCCCTCTTCTTTTGGGTACAATTAGACCTTCCGGCCAATGAAGTCCTTTCTCTCTTGTTTAATGGGCAACTCCTGCTAAGGGTCCCGGGATGCAGGTCAAGGACTAAGTGTTCTAAAGGCAACATCTTGTTCTCAGCTTGCCTGGCTACTCTGTAGCATTTGACACAAGCACACACTCTACACTGGCACCCAGCTCCCTTTGCCTCTATGACACGGCTCCTCCGAGTTTTCAACGGCCTCTCTAGCAATTATTTTTCAGGCTCTTGTGAGGGATCCCCTTTTCCATTTGCTTTTCAAATGCCAGGGTCTCTCCGAGTTCTGTCTTCAAGACTCTTTTGCTCACTCTGCACTTTCTGGGGGTCCAATATTGATGGCCATCACCCTATCTACCATGGTGACTCCCAAATCTCTGCCGCTGGCCCCAACATCTCAGCCAGCTCAATATCCAATGACTGAGCACAGTGGTTCCTGAATGTTGGCCCTCAGACCTCTACTGGTCTGAGACCAAACTTCCACTGATGTATACAGTGGAGTCAACATCTTACACAGGTAGTTCTCAAGTCAGCACAGAAGACACAAATTATGTTCAGCCAAATTATCCTTGAAAATCCCTCAGGAAGGTACCATGTCAAAGACCAACACACGTGTCTTTCATTAAGACTAATATCTACCTCAGATTTCTTAACAGATTTGTTTTTCTTTGGTCCAATACCAGAAGAAATATTTGGCTTGTCTTTTTTAAAAAAAATTACCAAGTATATTAAATATAAGAATCATACCTGGCACAATAGATACAAACTTACCATCTCGTGCTCCTCAGGGGACTATGCTCACTGTGTGGGAAGGCAAACCAAACAACCTGGACTTTTTGAACCGTTTTTCTTTTTTTTTCCAAGAGCACAGATTGAAATTTGCTAAGTTAATTCTTACAGGAAGCGAGTCTGCCATATATGGTACATGTGTGTGTATATCTTCTAGATAAGTATAATGTGTGTGGGAGTATGTATAAAACCTTCAGGCTGATGTACTGTGGCCCCATCCTCCCCCTCCCTTTCACCCAGCTGCTTTCTGCTGTTCTAAATTTAGCTCAGCAACTCCATGAGGAGGCTTCCTTCACTCCCCAGGCTAATTTAGATGCCTCTCCTCCCCTTGGGTCTCTGCAGGGCCCTGCACTGACATGGATCAGGGCACGTAGCACAGCATCTATGATTTATTTGTGCATCAATCTCCTGCACCAGACCACGAACTCCTTGAGTGGAAGAACCATGTCTTATTGGCCCCTTTCTCCCCTTGAGCAGCACAAGGAATGGCGCACAGCAGGCTCTGGGTAGGTGTTTATAGAAATAGGTGAATAGAGACAAAGCAAACACTCTCGGAGGGCTGTTAAAAACTTAAAGAGCCAGCTACCCTTTGCAGAGGGCTCTTGTGACTCACGGCTCTGAACCTTCGTTCTTCCTCTCTGCACATGTCAGGAAAATTTCTATATGAGGTGGGATGTGCTGGATGAAGCCGGAAGTGTGGGGTCAGACTGAAGAATCCCAGAAGTGAAACAAACCCGAATGCCCACCTGACTTTGAGTTAGAAGAGAAAGGTTGGGGGGTGGGAAGACAGGCCCTCCAAAGGAAGCCGGCTCCCCAGACTACTCCAATTCAGAGAACATGCCTGTCAGCTTTCCCTAACTCCAACAGCTCCAGCCCCCAGGTCACGGTCATTGTGGAGATGGCCTGGGGAGTCCGGTTCAGGAATGCTGAGACTGACGGGAAAGCAATGCGAGTCTCAGAACAGGTCATTCTTGGACCTGGCCGAGAAGTAGGTGAAATGTTCTTTCACTCCTTTCCTATCAGTCTCCCCCTTCAAGATCCAAGGACCCAGGCCCAGGTTCCTATATTGCCAGGCAGCACTCAGGAAAGAGGAAATCCTGTTAAATGTGTCAAGACTATTGTGTTAATAAAAACATGCAGTATTCAGACACTGCCGCACTCAGAGAAAGCAATTTCTAATTATTTCAGGTAGTCACGAGGCTAAGATCCTACTGGTCTTCTAGTCACTGTCTATTCTGTCTAAAAACAAGGTGGCCCTCTGCTTCTCACAGAGGACTAAGGAAGTTCCAGCAGGGCTCGGGACACAGCCTAAATCTACTCCAAAGGCTACACCCAGTCAACATTTTCAGTGTACGGCATTTGGAAGAAGTGCTGTTACCCTCCTACTTGTGTTTAAGTACCCTTATCCTGCAAGAGCAGAACAATCTCTTTGTCACCTGCGTCCCGTTACCACCTAACAATTATCTGGTGCTTCAGCACTTATAAGGCACCACTGACTGTGACCCATGACTACCATCTGCTTTGGCATCCTCCACTGAAAAGAAAGCCACCATGCTCAGCGACAAGACGTGGAGAGGCATGCATTACCTGCTCTGGGACTTGCGGTGCCCACGCACGTCCTTCTTGGGTCTCCGGGTGACTGGTGGGGCTGGGGTGGAGGGCAGGGGTGGTGGAGCAGCAGGCGTGGGTGAAGGAGGTAGACCATTGCTTGGCTTACTCTTGGGGTTCTTGTCGGCCTCATATTCAAAGGTGCGCTTGGGTTTGGGGACAGGATTCACAGCGGGATCTGGGGAGCTCTTCGATGGCAGCAGCTGGGAGCTCGGGCTATTCCCAGGGGTCCCTGTCTTAGTGGAGCCACTGCTTTCCCTCTCCAGGGGTGGGCCCGCCTCCCCCCCAACTCCAGCCACTCCTCCTGCCCGGATGCCAGCGCTCACACTGGCGCTTCCTGTGGGTTCCTCCAAGGCGCCCAAGGTCCCAGGCTTCCTTCTCCCTCGGTCTACACTGTAGCAGCTGCTGGGGAGCTGGGGGAGTCCCCGGCCTGGTTGCTCCTTCAGGGCCTGTTCAATTTTCTGGATGCGACTCAGCACTGCTGAGCTCTCCTTCCTGTTACCATGCCCCCTGAGGAAGGCACTGGGCTCACTCCGGCCTGGCCGTTTCTCCAGCCGGTGGAAAGAGTCCCGGACAGGGAGTGCCTCTCCCTCCTCCTCGGTCTCAGGGTAGGAACACTCAGAGAAGGTCCTGCTCATCCTCCGGAGGCCCTTGAAATCAAAGGTCTTTTCTGAGCTACAGGGGGACGGCACCACGCTGGGACAGCCCACGCTGGGGCAGCCCACGCTGGGGCAGCCCTCACTGACCGCCCACTCGCCCCCAGAGCCCTCCCGTTTCTCTCCACACATGCTCATCCTGGGCAAAGCCTCTTGGCGACCCTCCCATGCTGAAATCTTCTCCCGGATGCCCAGGCTGTGGGCACGGGGGCCAGTGCGGTTTTGAAAGATGCTCCGTGGGCCAGCTGCTGGCCCCAGGGATGGAGTGCTGTGGGCAAGAGGGAGGCAAGCAGCTATCCCCTCTACATCCTGGGCTGCCCCTTGAACACTCTCCTTCTGGTCTTCTCTCTTGCACACTGAAGGGCTTCCGTCCAAATAACCAAAGCTGGTGGCCTTGAGGGGACAAATGGGTGGTGAAGTGTCTGGGGAGGAAGCTTGAGGATTTTGGGGTGAAGGATCACGGGGGTGCCAGTCCTTGAGGAGCAGCCGGGAGCTGGAGCGGCTTGGGTACCTGCAGGCTGACGTTTCACTATCACTGAGGGGGTAGATGGGACTCCTTGGTGGGGAGAGAACTGGAGGTGGAGAGACTGACTGAGACCTAGGAGCAAAAAAGAAAGAAAAAGAAGAGAAAATGGCAGTGAGTGACCTGACAACCACAGGCATCGTGTTTGAATCTTAGAGAGCTCAGAACCTCCTTCCCATAAAACTCTTAAGCTCAAAGTACTCTATTTAAGTAATGCACCTTCAAAGCTGTCCTCAAGAAAAGAAACAGCTCCTTGAGCACAGCAGGCCAAACTCAGTGGGCCTCTTTGCCCGATTCATCGCCAGAGACTCCTCGTACTGTCAGAAACAGAAGCCAGTTCTACGACAGGTGAGAGCATCCCAGGAGTCTACACCTGCCAACTAGAGAAGAGTTAGACCAGTGGCGTGCTGGTAGATGTTTAACAATCAGTTCTCTGGGGAGAAAACATAGATATGCAGCATTTGCCAAGTTCCACGGTATAAATGTATAAATGTTCCTACCAAGGCTGATTTTGAGCTATCGATTTGATGACATTGAATGTGGAGTTGGCAAGGGGTGCTAATGATCGGTTTTCATAAGCTGGTATAAAGCAGCTCCATTTCCTGAAGTAGCCCCCAAATACACTCAAGCCCTTTGATCTGTCTCCTTAACAAGAACGCTCCCTCTGAGACTTCCACTACCAGACACAAGCTCCTGCTCCTCAGCCTGGGTCTTGATCAAAATTCAGATCCTTAAAGGTCTCAAAAGGATCAGGAGGGCCCCTCAAGACAGAGTCCTTTCCACTCTAACTGAGAAGGCTAGGGGGAGGGGAGGGCACCTCCTTAGGCAGCTCTACTCTCCAGCAGTGGCATCCCATCAAACACCAGCCACTTCCCAGCTCCAAATCTACATACAGATCTTAGCAAATACCGGAAATAGTTCAAAATAAATGTTTTTATATATATATTGACTCGTTCAATCTTCATCAAAACTCTATAGCGTTATTATCACTTATTATTATCCCCATATTATAAATGAAAAACACTAAGGCATAGAAAGGTTAACTATCTCATCCCAGATCACTCAGCTGGTACATGGTAAAACCAAGACATGAACTTACACTATACTATGCTGCCTCTCTAAAGAGGCAGCAGTGGCCTCTGCCATCTTTGTGAACCACCGGGGCCCCCAGACACAGCTCAGCAGAAATCCCCACAGCACAGGGCACAGCCCTATCTTTTTTTTTTTTTTTTTAATTAAAGTTTATTGCGGTGACGATGGTTAGTAAGGTTATATAGGTTTCAGGTGTACAATTCTGTACATCATCTATATATCACATTGTGTGTTCACCACCCAGAGTCAGTTTTCCTTCCGTCACCATATATTTGATCCCCTTTACCCTCATCTACCACCCCCTCGCCCTCCCCACAGCCCTATCTTGAATGCAGCATCATTCAAGTGTCTGAGGACCTCTTGGTCTTCCCTACTAGACCACGATTTCTCCTAGGTGGGGAGACACATACTCAGTATCTGGAAGGTGCTCAGTGAATGATGAACAAATGAAGAAAAAAAGAGATAAAGGTGAGCTTATTGCATAGAACTATGAGCATAATTCCATTTCAGTACACTTTTCTAGTTGTCTACTTGGGTAACCACTGTAAACTTTCAGAATTCTTCCCAGTTTTAGTTCAGCGACAGCAGGGCTTTGCCGACACTGCATGCTACAAAGGCTTATCTGACCCTCATGTCACACATGGCCCTCAAAGAGCTGGACAGTCTAGCCTCGCAGCCTCCAGAGTGCCATGCCATCCACAGGAAGGCAGCCAGCTGCCCCCGAGCCAGGCTGCTGTCACTGCTTGCTCACACACAGAAAACTGGAGCTCGGGTGAGTCAGGGATTGGCCAACAATTCCCTGTTGGGTCATAGCCTCTGGCTGCCCCCGATCAACAGGAAACCTCAACATGCTTAAGTTGTTTTTAAAAGTGCAAGTCAAACAAGAGCCTTCCCACGTGTACATGGGCACAGAGGAGAGAAATTCGGTGCCTAGCCAAGCCAATGACCAAAGGACTCTGCTCAGTGAGGAAGTGTGAACAGAATGAACCTCAGCACTCCCCAGGGTAGGCAGTGGCAGGGCGATATGCCAGACTTGAGCCTGGGGAGATCCCAACCTCCTTACAATCGAGAGAGGCCTTAGGTCCCTCACTTATTTTACTGAACCATGGATGCGAAAGGTCCTCAGTCTAGCCCTGAAAGCCAATGAGTGTCTGGGCTACCCAAAGGACTCTACATTTCAGTTCTTCTCAGTTGGAAGTGGAGAAGGTGCCTTTAATAGAGGATAGCTTTATCAACTGTTTATTCATTCAACAAATACTGAGAGAGCACTCTACCATGTGCTAGGCCCTGATCTAGATGCTAGATATAAGAATAAACAAGAGACAAAAATTCATGTCCTCGTGAAGCTTAATTTCCAGTGAGAGATGAGAGGCACCTAATGAGACTCAGAATCTCTTAGGAAGCCTTTTCAGGCTACATATGTCTCAAATCTCAGGACATTTTGATATATGCTTACCTAGGGAGGTGTCTCCTCCACCCGCAAGATGAGAATTCAACCAGTCCATGAAGCCACTGTTACTTGTGCGGGGGGTGGGGCCTAGGGAGGGTGGAGGGGGGGGGATTGGGGGCTTGGCAGATCCCATAGGTGGGACAGAAAAAGCGTTGATGATATCTGGTCTAATTCCAGCATGCTTTCACAAAGAATAATTCTTAACCTCTCTTAGCAGTTCTAGCATGGAGAAATCCCAAGTTAAAGGATTCTCTCAATGCCTAACCTGCTTTAACTGAGGTTTAGTTTATCTCCTCTCGTAAAGAAAAACACAGAGAAAAGACTGGCCCTTTCCTTTAAAGGTCCTGGTTGAGGCCCAGAGCTGCAAGGGCTCCTTGCCGAGCCTCCCCACACAGGCCAGGCCCAACTGGGGATGGGAAAAGGGGCCCCATGCTGACCTGGGGCACAGGCGTCCGTGGGCTCATCACAGAGAGGGCAGCATTCGCTCACTCCGCGTCCTAGGGATGAATCTGTAAACAACACACATAAGGCCCTGCCCCTCCCTCATGGGGCTGCGACTCTCACTTGAGGGTAGAACTCACTGCTATTTCTCCAGGTTTATTAGGAATGTGACCATGGGCAAAGCCACTCACTCCGGAGCTCTGAGCTTCCAGTTTCAACTCCTCAAAATTGTGCTAACTACACCACGGGGCTGTCATATGGGGCAAGTGTGATTATGGATGTGAAGAAATGCTGTCGTACACTGTAACTCACCATGACTTAATTATCATTAGTATTGAGTTTTTCAGCAGGTTATTCCAGGCCAGTTCTCAACAAAGAGTATGAACACCATGACCTTGGGGTTCAGGTGTCAGCATAGCCACTGAAAAGTTACTGACTTTGGGCAAATAACCTTATCTCTCTGCACTTTAATTTCCTTGTCTACAAAAATGGAGGTTAAAAGAACACGTATCTCAGAGGATTGTTGTAAGGAGCAGAGACCAACGATACAAGTCATGTGTGGAGCTCAGTAGCTAACACATAGTCTTCAATCTTAGCGTGGTAATCACTAATATTAACAGGGAGCTGACGATTCAGAATCACTGCTTGGCAAGCTTTTTCAAACAGCTAACTTCTCTGTCCCTGGATTCTAAACATTTGGGGTGGGAGGGGGAGGGAGTAAATTAAATATGGCGATAAATTCTTTGCAGCTCATGCTATCAAAAGGTGGAATCTATTTTTCTGTCCCTTGAGTCTACACTGATCTTGTGATTTGCTTTGACCAGTAGAATGTTGTGGAAATTAAGGTGTCAGAGTTCCAAACATGAGGTCTCACGAGGCCTTGCAGTTTCCCCCTTCACACGTTTGGAATGCTGCCCTGAGACTGTCATGTAAGGAAGCCAGTCTAGTCTTTTAGAGGATGAGGGACCATGTGGAGCATAACCAAGGCACCTCAGCCAACAGCCAGTTACCACGTGAGCCTGACATGGGAGTGTGGTCATCTCAGCGCCAAATGAACCACCTAGATGAGTAAGCCCAGGGGAAACCAATAGAGGAACCACTCGGTGAATGCGCCGAAAGGTTAGGAAATAATAAACTGTTCTAAGCCACTACATTTTAGGGTGGTTTGCTACAATGCGAAGCAGAATGATGCAGGTGGGAAAGGCCAGGCTTGTGCATAATTGGTCCGCCCCCTCCCAGTGCAGAACCACTGCCTTGGGCCTTGTATCCCCACGCCTGTCTCTTTCGCATCCCATCCACAGCGGGGCTGAGTGTCTTCTCACACAGTCTCACCCCTATGCTGCTTTATGCTTCCTTCACCCCTGATTTTTACTGCTGCATTTCCAACTCATTCCACAGAGGAGAGAAATTCGGTGCCTAGCCAAGCC